TGCATTATACCCTCAATGTCCATCCATGTTGTCACAAATGGCTGGATTTCATCCTTTCTTATGGCTGAGTAGTATTCCATTGTGTATATATACCACAGCTTCTTTATCCATTCGTCCCTTGATGGGCACTTAGGTTGCTTCCAAGTCTTGGCTATTGTGAATAACGCTGCAATGAACACAGGGGTGCATGTACCTTTGCAAATTGGTGTTTTCAAGTTCTTTGGATAAATACCCAACAGTGGAATAGCTGGATCATATGGCAGTTCTATCCTTGATTTTTTGAGGAATCTCCATACTGTTTTCCATAGTGGCTGCACCAGTTTGCACTCCCACCAGCAGTGTATGAGAGTTCCCTTCTCTCCACATCCTCTCCAACACATGTTGTTTCCTGTCTTGTTAATTATAGCCATTCTGACGGGCGTCAGGTGATATCCCCAGCTTTATTGAGGTATAATTTACAAATAAAATTGTACATACTTAAAGTATACAATGTGAGGATTTGATAGATATAGACATTATAAAATGATTACAATTAAGTTAATTAACATATCCATCACCTCACATACTTTTTTTAATATGGTGAGCATGCTTAAGATCTATTTTCTTAGCAAATTTCAAGTGTATAATACAGTATTATTAACTATAGTCACTATGCTGTACATTAGATCCCCAGAACTTACTCATCTTATAACTGAAAGTATGTACCCTTTGACCAACATCTCCCCATTTCCCCAACCTCCCAGCCCTTGGCAACCACCATTCTACTCTGGACCATTTTTGACCTACTGACAGAGCAACTTCACATAGCTCAACCTAATATAATGGAATACTTTGCCGTCATTAAAAAGAATCAGGTAGATTATACAAGTGTTAGGGAAATGACCTCCACATTATATCTCCAAACAAACAAGACATAGAATGTGTATAGAATGTTCCCTTTAGTATTTTTTAAATACTATATATTTAAGTACATATATATATACACCCACTTGTATGTGCATAGAAACTTTCTGGAAGCACACCAAGAAAATGTCAACAATTGTCTCTGAGACAGAGACTAGAAGGTCTGGGACGAGAGGGAAAATACTTTTCACTGAATACCCTCCCATCACTAAATATCCTCTCACACTGTTTGAATGTCTTATTACATGCATGCATTACTTTTTCTATTAAGAAAAGTCTGGATGCTTTTCAAATGCCACAACTAACTTAAGGTTCTTCACTAACATTCAAATTATTTAAAACATTAACCAGTATTCACAACAAAGAACACTTCAAATAAGGTAATAAGTTAGTAACTAGTTAAGTTACTAGCTTAACTGGATACCAAACAGCTTTATGACCCTAAGGATCTTAAAGGAAATTAAAATAAGTACTACGTTTCAACAATAATATCCATATATACAAAGCATTGTGTGCAAGCATGTAATATAATATATACACAGTCATTCATTTAAGAAATGTTTTTGACCTCTATGTGCAACTGACTCTGCTGTAGGCCCCCTGTCTGTCTGTCTATGAAACGCTTTATAAAGAGGGTGCATATATACACATACATATGTAAGCATGTGTATATGCATGTGTAGGTCTGTGTGCGTGTGCCACACAGACCATCCCAGGCTGCTACTCAACCAGGATTGAAGATGCCATTAGTAATCACAACCCGTCAGACCTAGTGGTCCCTTGGTGTATCTTCGGGATGTATGAGCAAGAATTGCTACTGCTTTCTTAACAATGACTAGGCCTTGGGCTAGTCCTGGCGTCTCCCTCTCCACCAGGCTCCCCGTCTTACACACCTGCAGAAGGGCTCAAAAGAGGATCTGTCTTTTTCTAAAGATCTTTTCCCTTAACTCTTATCTGGGTCACAACTGAAGACTGGGGACCAATAGATAAATTTAGCAGTTCTCATTCTATTAATTCCCCAACTGCCCTCGACCTCTTTCCTGAGAATCAGCACAGACGGTCCCGGCTTACAATGGTTCAACTTAAGATCTTTCGACTTTACAGTGGTCTGAAACCCATATGCAATCAGTGGAAACGTACTTTGAATTCTGAATTTTGATCTTTCCCCAGGCTAGCGATATACTGCACTATACTCGCTTGCGATGCTGGGCAGGCAGGGAGCCGCAGCTCCCAGTCAGCCACGTGATCACTTACAACTATTCTGTATCCATACACCCATTCTGTTTCTCATTTTCAGTATAGTATTCAATAAATTACACGAGATATTCAACACTATACTATAAAACAGGCTTTGTGTTTGTGTTTTTTGCCCAACTGTAGGCTAATGTAAGTGTTCTGAGCACTTTTAAGGTAGCCTAGGCTAAACTACGATATTCGGTAGGTTAGGTATATTAAATGCATTTTCAACTTAGAGTACTTCAACTTAACAATGGGTTTATCAGGACTTAACCCCATTGTAAATCAAGGAAAATCTGTATATGTGATAAGATGTGACTGATGAAATTTGTAGCAGGTATGAACAATCTGGATTCGGGGATGAGGAAAAGCAGGGAGGCTGAGGCTGATCTCAGGTGTTCATATATGAAAACGTTGATGAGCTTATATGCACTTGTATAAGCTAGTATAAAATGCAGAATCTCTGAAATTCAATACATCTTTGGAAATTTAAGAAACATTTTATTTAATGATCACTAATTATCCCTAATCATGGCAAAATGTATGTGCTAAATATTTTTACTAGAAAGTTAAATGGAAAACCAATAAATAAATGTGCTTTTTGAAATACTCCTAGCCTCGATAAACATGCTTGACCCCAAACCATAGATAATATCAAATTTAAGGAGTATAATCTCAGCTATTACCATGAGTTCATGAAACCTACAAATTTCAGTGGTACTCCTAACAAATTTGTCGTTTGACTTTACTCAATTCAAATTTGAGCCATTTCTAAATTTTCTTTCAAACAATATAAATTTACTGGTCAATCTTGATATAAGTATGCACGGAATTTTAAACATTTCACATGAATATATTAAAATATACATTCTTTAAAACCTGCCATTTTGCCTATTATTAACAGTTTTATGAACTTTTTTTAAAATTAAGATTTCAAATGCTAAAGGCACTGTTAGGAAAGTCCCTATCTTGTTTAGCTCCAATCTTCTAAAAATACATTAAACCCATGTCCTTAATTTATCACAAATTCTATTAAATTAAAAAACGTCACTATTAAAAGCAGTTACAGGGCTCCGCCCGGTTGCGCAAGCGGTTAGCTGTGCGCCCTCCGCTGCGCGACCCGGGGTTCTCGGGTTCGGATCCCAGGCGCGGAGGAACGCACTGCTTGGCAAGCCGCCATGCTGTGGCGGCGTCCCACATAAAGTGGAGGAAGATGGGCACGGATGTTAGCCCAGGGCCAGCCTTCCTCACCAAAAAAAGAGGATTGGCAGATGTTAGCACAGGGCTGATCTCACAAAAAGAAAATTAAAAAATAAAAATTAAAAAAAAAAGGAGCACTTAAAAAAATGACTGAAGCAATCTTTGACTCTCTGCTAATTGCACCTTAACAGTTGTGTGTGTGCTTACACATATTTACTTTAGAAAATAAGAAAAGTTAATACAAACATGAATCCATAGGCATATAATAAAAGTTCTATTTTCATATAGGGGCCCACTGACCTTAGAAAACAAATTCTCATAAAAATAGGTATACAATGAATTAACTTTTGCAAATTTATTTTTAAAGAGCACACAAATCCAATAATATCACTGGTTTCCTTTTCAAATTCCTCATTAAAGTTCCCCAGGGATAAATGACTCTCTGCGTGACAATTCAGAAGTATGAAGAAAGTTAGAATATATAAATAATCCTTCAGTCACAAGCATTTGCGATATATATGTTCACGATCAAAGTAAAACTCTCAACTTCGAGCCCTCACAGGTCAGCAGTACCTGCTACATAAACAAGAGTAACACAGCATGCTAATCTCCATATAACACAAACAGGTTACTTTCCATTATTAAAAATAACCATGAGTGTGTTGGTGAGATCTGAACTCTGCACTTAGCCAGAACCTACGACGCGAAAGCCTGGCTTGCTGTCCCTGCCGCGCTGGGTGCTGTTAACCGGGAGCATCATTTACGACTGGGGACGCCCCTTCCAAACGGCAGCAAGTGGCAAAGGGGGTGTCCGGTGTCCCCTCCCCACCCACCCTCGCGGAGTGGGCCAGAGGAGGGGCAGGCTGCTGCCTGCGGGAAGGGAACGTGGCGGGCTCACTGCCGCTCTGGCTGGTCGGCCTGCACTCCGCTCCCTGCTCAACGCACAGACTCTGCCGAACCTCTGCACGGCAGGGAGCACAAAAAATAAAACACTCCTTTTGAGTTCCCTGAGCGGGAACCCTCCCCAGCGCTTCAGCTTTTTCCCACGCTCCCGCCGAGCCGCTGGTCCCCGTCTCCTCCACCTCTGGCCGCTGAACTCCCCGGGAGCCCAGCACCGCGGCCTCCAGCGCGCGGGCCGGGAATCCCTTCCTGCCGCGCCGCGGTCCAGCTCCCGCCGGCCCCGCCCCCGGCCCAGGCCCCGCCCTCACCTCGATCCCCAAGTGGGGGGCGCGGGAGGCCGAGGGTGCGCCCCCGCCCCCGGCCCAGGCCCCCTCCCGAGCGCGCGGCGAATGGTAGGCTCCATTGAAAGAGTGCCGGGCGGCGCGCGGTGTCCTCCGAGCCGCTCTCGGCGCCGGGGTCTCGGCGATCGCTGCTCCTCCTCCTCCTCCTTTTTCTCCTCCTCCTCCCCGCGCCGCCTCGCAACCGCCGCGGCTCCGGCTGGAGGCGCCGCTGTCATTCCTGCGCCGGAGGAGCCGGCGCTGCCGGTGCCTGGGGGTCGGGGCG